TCCATGACTATCGATCAGCATACGATGTGGGTTTGGTTATATAAGCCTTGGTCTTAAAAATTGTGGCTTATCGGTGGGGTTGGGACAGCCCCATGTCAATCCTAGCTCGGTTTGGTAGAATGCAAATTTATAATTACTCTATATAAGTGCAGGCCGGTGACTGGGGGATCCATGAATCCGGCAAGGAGCATAGGGCCGGCGGTGGTGATGCGAATATACACTGGCCTGTGGATTTATATATTAGGTCCATTCATCGGCGCCATCCTGGGAGGTTTTGCTTATAACCTTATTAGGTTCACAGAGAAACCACTTTCGGAGCTAACCAAGTCCAATTCTATAATCAAGTCCATGTCTAGGACCATCAGCTTTGCTCGCTAAGGAAATGCCTTCAGTAGCTGCAAATGAGTGAAGAATTATGAATATCATGTACAATAATATATACTACAGTTACAGGGTAGAGCTTGTAATTAATACCATACTTCTTGATCATCTTGTAATTATTTCTCCATTATTCCTTAATCACCTGCTGTATTTATGGCCGTAATTTTCATTTTTCATTTTTGCATCGTCACTCTCGTGTACATAACACAGTTATTGTAATGAGAAGAAAGAAAAACAATATATAATACCAGTCTTTTTTTTCTTTTCTTTTTTTTTTTTTTCCTTTTGTAATTTGTTTTAGAAAACTATTTCTGGTTATTGGAAGTAATCCTCTATTATATCTTACTCATCCCAACCTATAAATGTTGTCCCACTAAAACCTTTTGAATTTTAAAGGACAAAAATATACAACTGTGGATGTGACCGTGAAAAAAGGTAAAATGAAAACAATCCAAAAAAATATTAAGATTGGAAGATAAATGAAATTACAAAACCAATAATACATATATTGTAATTTAGATTATATTGAATTATACAATATAAATTATTACATAGAAGGTGGTCTCTTGAATGCAAAGGTGAGTCTTAATATTCTTGTTTTGCAATTGAAACCAATATCATGAACTTATTAATTACTAGTTGTTTACAACACACTTAGTGTTTTTTTTTTTTTTTATCTTGCTTGCATAATATGAGATAATAATTTTTCATCATTTATCTTATCTCATCTCACCCGCATGTCATGCGACTCGAACTCAAAACCTCTTATTTCTAACGAAAAAAGATAATCGTTGAACTATTTAGATTATCGACACAATTAGTAATTTATTAAAAAAATATTATGTGTCTATATAGAGATTGAGTGAACATAAATCTTTTAAAATTAATTGGAAATTGGTAGTGATTCGGTACACTGGGATTTGTTTTTGAAGTTGCCATGTATTAACACAAATTATTTTTATTAGGTTAGAGCTTTTGGCATTTTTGTTAATTAAGGGAGTTCAACTTTATTTATTGAAAAGTGGATTTGGAATTGGAGTGTTTGATGAGATAGAGGAAGACAATCATGTGGCCCCAAGAAAAGTGCAGCCTAAGTGCTCTTTTGGACTTTTGCAAATAAATCAAAAACTCATGGATTGGAGATAATGTTTTACTTAGGTTAAATTTCATCTCCCTTTTTCGGTGCGGAGGAGTTGCTGACTTGGGGATTAGATCAAGATGAGATTTGACTTGTTTAAGTGAGAAAAATAAGGGCAACTTCCAATTGGTTCTGACAAACATGGTTCTGGTGGTTTCTGGCTACTAGATTTTCATTTCTGGGTATCGGTAGGTCGCACATTGAAGATGATTTTGGGGTTGTTGAGATCTGGTTTAACTGTAGAAGATGGAGATGATCAAGGTCAAATTATTGGTGAATGGTTTCAAACATTGAGGCCTTTAAATACAAGTTTTCAATACATTTTTCAATTTTAACAAGCATGTCCTTCACACATAAGTTAATTTACTATCAAAACTCTTTATTCTACACAAGCATCTCTTAGTTTAGTCTAATGTTATTTTTAGCAAATCCTCTTTGAATTCTTAGCCCAATAGAAGTAAATCAACATTCCCCAACAAATTGTTGCTTGTAGTTGGTTTAGTTTTTGTTAAGATTAATCTTTATGACATTTATCTTATTTTGTTGTTTAGTTCTATTTAATTTCTCAATTGTTAAACATTCAATTTAAATTAAAGTATGTTTTGGTTGAAATTTAGCTTCCTCCATTTTCTAAATTTCTAGTTACCAGCTTACATTTTCTACCTACAGTTTACAGTTTTGTCTAGCTACATCTTCTGCACTTTCTTTTAATTAATTTCAGCATTTGTTTTTTATTTATTCACTCTTTAGCAGTTTAATTTAATTTTTCCTAATACTTGTTTACCATAATCAAAGTTCTTAATATGTTTTCAAAGCAAGTTTGAGCTCATTATATAGGAATTAATCTCTTATTTTTACCAATTGTCTGATTTGAGTGCATTACATTTCAAACAACATTCTTCCAATAACCTTTTTCCATACGAAAAAATCAAACGAAAAAAGAGGATCATTGGCAAATCCTTTTCTTGCTTTTTTTTGGGTCAAAGTAGGTGACACACTTTTGTTTTAACTTCAACCGCGAGATGTGGTTAATAGAATTTTAAAGTTTTTTTTTTAATAAATCAATGATAATACAACTAATTATTAGGGGATTAATATAAGTGGTTAGGCTAACGCCATGATTTAGGTACCATATTATTGAACCCTTACCACTGAGCCATGAACGTGGTTGGCAGATTTTTAAGGTTAACATTAATGTTTTTGGATTTGTATAAATATTTCTAATGTTGAAAATCATTATGAATATATACACTTCTCGAATAAGTAATTCTGAAAAATTTACCAAA